AGCTACTCGGGAGGCTGAGGCAGGAGGATCGCTTGAGCCCAGGAGTTTGAGGTTGCTGTGAGCTAGGCTGACGCCACGGCACTCTAGCCCGGGTAACACAGTGAGACTCTGTCTCGAAAAAAAAAAAAGGGTTCTATTTTCTCCGCATCCTCATCAACACTTGTTCTTTTCTGGTTTTGTGCGTTTATTTTTTCATTTTATGGTAGCCATCCTAGTCAGTGGGAGGTGGTATCTCACTGTGCACACTTTATTTTGTGTTTGTTTTAACACAAACTATAGCATACTGTACACACACTACACACTTAATTTTATCACTTAATATATTGTGGAGATCACGTCAGTAAACACAGAACTGCTTATTCTTTTTTGCTGGCTTTATGGTAATCCACTGTATGAATGTACCATAACTTATTTAACCAGTTCCCTGTTGATGAACTGTTTTTCCAGTCTTTTGTTATTACAAACGGTGCTACAAGGACTACCTCTACATACTCCATTCTCTGCACATAGGAGTTTGTAAGGATAATCCATAAAAGTGAAACTCTGAGCTAAAGGGCATGTGCATGCTTTTATTTTTATGGATATTGCCAAATTGATTTCCATACAGAGTATACCTATTTAAAATTACCAGCAATGTAGGGACATGTTCTTTAAATGCACACTGGATCAAAAGATCAAAATTGTAAAAATATTGTGTTCTTAGTATGGTACTCCTGCATGGACAGACTTTAGAGTCACTTATTTTTAGGGGCTTTGGAGCAAGGGCAGCTCATAAAGAGCTTTCCTCGGTTAGCAGTTCCGGAGGAGGTAGTACGCGAAAAGGGTTTGTCTTGGAGCCCGTATTCACCTTTCCTTGGTAGAACAATGAATACTCACAGAAGATACTGAGTAAGATAATCATTTATTCCTTCAATCAAAAAATATTTATTGAAAGCCTACTATGTAGTCCTAGATGTTGGGGATGGAATGAAAATGAAATCATCTAGTCTTAGTGCTTAAAAAATAAATAAAAAAAAAATCAAATCAGAGCAGACACTCCTTTCATTGATGTTTTCAGGTTTTTCAAGGGAAGCAAACATTAATACGACTAATAGTAAGTAACACTGTGGGAGAGAAATGTGTATCATGCCACTGGATCCTGTAACAAGGGTCTGAGGGTTAGCAAAGGGTTGCCAGGGGAAGTTTGTTTGAGTTGAGATATGAAGGACGAGTAAAAGACTAGGTGAAGGGAGGTCTATTTTTCCTTTGGTGGAAAAAGCATGGTTAACAAATGAAGAAGGGCCTGTAGTCCTACCTCATAGTGTTGTTATGAGAATTAAGTTAAATAATACATGTAATGCATTTAGCAAAATGCTCGACACATGTCAGTTACTTGATGAATGATTATTCTGTTTCTACTCTTTCTTTTTCTAATAACCACAGTGAATGTTAAAATTCCAGTTCCCTGAGCAAAGTATTTTCACCCTCATGATGTTCTTTTATTTATTTATTTATTTATTTTTTTGAGACAGAGTCTCGCTCCGTTGCCCGGGCTAGAGTGCCGTGGCATAAGGCTAGCTCACAGCAACCTCAAACTCCTGGGCTCAAGTGATCCTCCTGCCTCAGCCTCCTGAGTGGCTGGGACTACATGCACCACCATGCCTGGCTAATTTTTTCTGTATATTTTTAGTTGTCCAGCTAATGTCTTTCTATTTTTAGTAGAGACGGGGGTCTCGCTCTTGCTCAGGCTGGTCACGAACTCCCTCGTTATGTACTTACTTTGTATTTCTCTACAGTCTCTCTCTTCCTCCATTTCTGAGTTCCCAAGCACAGCAGTACATTGATCACTGTCTACCTTAGGAGCTAATTAGATTAAAAACTACCACTTATTTTGCCCTTAATATATACTAAACACTTTATATCCATTATTTAATTTAATCTTCATAATGATCTTAGTAGGTAAGAACTATTGTTACTCCCATTTTATAAATGAAGAAACTGAAGCAAGCACAGCCCAAGGACAATAGCCAGCAAACTGCAGAGCAGAATGCAAACTCAAGTCTGACTAATTTCTAATCACTGCCCTATACTGCCGTGGTTGTTAGTTATCTTTATTAGGTCTTGTTTACCTAACCAGGTGACAAACTTATTTAGGACAAGAAGGTGGCTTTATACTCTTTAGTCAAATAATAGCTACTGTTTACTCAGTATCTACTATGTGACACACACTTTGCCTTCATTATTTCTAATCCTCATAACAACCTCTGTTGTATATATTACTTTCCTCAGTTTACAGATAAGAGAACTAAGGCTCAAAGGGTTTAATTAACTTGGCCAAGGTGGCGGAGACAGGACTAAAATCCTGATATATGTACAACCAGTACCTACCACTTGTAGTTAGTAGAGAGGAAAGCACAGGCTACACTGACCCAAAACCTGCTTATCTCCACCTGGCATGACCTTTAGATAATGGCAGTGAACATGGGGAAGAAAATTGTTCCTTCCAGTTGTGTGAAAATATAAATTTAGCTCACAATAAGTAGAGCCCAAAGGGATCATTGCGGAATTCCTGCATTCATCACCCAGCATAGGCTCCTAGTGAGCAAAGTCCCCCACTGGGAGTTTTGTAATCCGTGATACAGACGTTTTCTATGTGCCAGGCACTGTTTTAAGTGCTTTATATGGAATAACTCATTTCATATCCAAGTAAGGGCTGTTATTATCCCATGTAACAGCTAAGAAAACCAAAAGCACAAGAAGGTTAAAGGATTCACCCAAGGCCCCCCAACACGCAAGTGGTGGCGTTTGGGACACCTGGCAGTGTGCTTTCAGAGCTTGAGAGTCACAGGGTCAAGCACAAAAACAGACGAAAGCCTGCTATAATGAAAGACCAAAAACCGCTGCGGGCTGAGCAGGAAAATTGGTTTCCAAGTGCCTGCCTGCCAGCACACCTCCCCACCCCCTCCTTCCAGGCCGATTGCAACAAGCCGGAGGAGAAGTAGGGGAAAGGTCGCGGGGCGGGGGGCGGGATTTGGCTCCTCCCTTCTCGCACGTTCAGTCCCTTCCACTCAGCCCGCTGAGCTCGCAGAGCTATGGGATCGCCCGGTTCTCACCCATCCAGCCCCTGCATTTGACCCGGACACACGGAACCGCCAGTCCTAAAAGCCACCGACAGCCTTCTCTTCACGTGACTGACGTTCCTCCCCATTCCCGGGTCTCCCCAGGATTCCATTTTCTGAGATTCCCCCATTGGGCTGACTCTAATTGTCTGGGTTGGGGAGGGTGGGTGGTACTTAGTAAGGCAGCCCAGCCCCCAGATCTGAGCCTAAGGCTGGACCGTGTCCTCCTAGCTCTTCAGGTCAAGCCGAAAACACCCCTGAAGATCATCTAGTGGCCAATGCCCTCATTTTTAGATGAGGAAACTCAAGCCCAATGAATACAAAGTGACTTGCCCACATGCAGTTAGGGGCCCACACAAGTGTCAGGAATATTTCTCATTTTCTTAAATAACATGACAGACTCTTATAGAAAAGCAGAGCTTAAGGCTGGGCTCGGTGGCTCACGCCTGTAATTCTAGCACCCTGGGAGGCCAAGGCAGGAGGATCGCTTGAGCTCAGGAGTTGGAGTCCAGCCTGAGCAAGAGCAAGATCCCGTCTCTACTATAAATAGAAAGAAATTAGCCAAACAACTAAAAATAGAAAAGAATTAGCCAGGCACCGTGACACGTGCCTGTAGTCCCAGCTACCCCGGAGGCTGAGGCAGGAGGATTGCTTGAGCCCAGGAGTTTGAGGTTGCTGTGAGCTAGGCTGACACCACTGCACTCTAGCCCGGTCAACAGGGTGAGACTGTGTCTCAAAAAAAAAAAAAAAAAAGAAAGAAAGAAAGAAAGAAAAGCAGAGCTTAAGGTGATGCAGAAGGGCCTCGCCATTCCAGAGATATATATGCAAATTAAACCTCGGGATTTGGAATGGAGAGTGGTGTCTGGAATCTTGGTATCTCTCATAAGTGAAACAAACTCCGCTCTTCAGTCCCTGAAATGGAGAAAACGGGGTGGGAAGTGGTCTGGTGCCCTTTGACAATTGCACGTTGTTGAGATACCCGGTGAAGAGCCCATCCGTCGCGGCTGGGAGTTCATCCGATACGAAGGCCCTTGGATTGGGGTCACCTCAGGTGTCTTCCCCCAACTTGGGGGTCGGGGGTGTAAACGTGCGGACTCCTTCAAATGTTTCCTACATCAGGGGAAGGCACTGGCAGTTAACACACACGCCCAGTCCCGCTCCAGGCCGCAGTGACTCAGAACCGTATGCTTTCGGACACAGCTCTGCCCGCGCGCAACCGCGGACAGTCCCCAAACCCCTAGCGGTCCGGGCCGCGGACGTGAGCCCTGGCGGGTGCGGGCGGGCGGAGTGCGCGTGCGCACGCCTCCGGGGGCGGGGCCGCGGCTATAAGCGGACGCCCGCGGACGGCCCTGCCGTCTGCGCTTTGGTCCTCCCCGGGCGTTGTCTGTCGGGCTCCCGCGCTGCTGCTCGTTGGCCGACTTTCCTCCCGACTCCTGCACGACCTCCTGCGACAGAGAGCGAGCCACTCCTGGCTCTTCCTTCTCGAGGTGAGAGGCCCTGTGGGTTTCCGCGGACTAACATCCGATTCCCCGGCTTCTCGTCCCCCATCCCCCGGGATTTGTGGCGGGACGGCCGCCTGGAGTTCCCGGGCTGCGGCTCTGCCGCCGGGAGCCTGCCTCCTGGTCCCCACCTCCACCCGGTTCCTCGGTCAGCCGCCCTAGCCCCGTTTTCTCCTAGGGTGGCCCTAACTAGGATCCACGTGGCCCTTTCATCCCCTGCTCGCCAGTGGTGGGTTAGGCGTCCCTGCCATGTCCTCCCAAAGCACCCTGAGCATCTCCTTCCTACCACAGCGAGTTGCGTGGTAACTACCCTATGCGGGCAGCGTTCATGGCTACAAGGTTTGCCGTGTGGCCCTAATACCTTCCGGAGTGCCTAACACATTGCAGATATTCAGGGCATATTTGTTGAATAAGTGAACTTCATGGATTTGACCCGCAAAGACTTATTTTGACTTTCTAAATGTTAAATCCGACTGTGGTGTAGAGGAGACTTTTAGGCAGCCTGCTTTCTCTAGGGCATGTTCTGATATTCCCTTCTGCCCCCCATGAAAGGACTCAGCCTATGCTTCAGAAAGGTTAGTGGTGCCTGCTCTGTAGCACAGGGATTGTGCATTGCACCCGGCAGAAACAAAGTCTTCAAGAGAAGTACAAGTTTTAAGAAATACTCTTGAATTAGTCCAAAGAAGCAAGACTGGCTCCGAAGCCATGGGGTTTGTAGTGTAAATATACTTGGAGATTCTGCTATGGACGAACATCCACTGGTCCCTGTCTCCCTGGCTGGCTGAGCCTCTCCTTAGTGCTCTGGGGAGACAGAAGGGTCAGGGCCGGAGGGATGCATATCCCCAAAGTGGTAGATTAATCCTTTCCTCTTTCCTCAGGATCCGGAAGCCCTCTGGAAGCAGAAGGCAACTCTACTGCTCTGCAAAGGAGCGGGGTCCTTTCAGCCATGAGGCACGTGTTGAACCTCTACCTCTTGGGTGTGGTGCTGACCCTGTTCTCCATCTTCGTGAGACTGATAGAGTCCCTGAGGGACTTACTGAAGAGCCCATCACCTGGGAGCTCCTGGACCACTAGAAGTCAGCTGGCCAACACAGAGCCCCGCAAGGGCCTTCCAGACCCTCTATCCAGAGGAGTGCAATAAAGACCTCCCTTGCGCTGGCCATACCTTAGAACACTGACCCAAACATGTGCAGCCAGGTGTCCCATTTCCTAGCAGGCAAACTGAACTCTCGTGTTTCCAGGGAACTAACTGTTATTGGGCCTTGCAGGACCTGTCCTGCTCCTTGGATGCTGGATGCTCCTTGTCCTGGAAAAAAGAACCTGTTTAACACACAGGTGTGCACAGGTTGCCTATGGCTGTGAGATGGACTGATCTTACTCTTCTCTCCAGCGTCGGCTATGTGCTTTGCTGTGCTCAGCATCGTGGCTCTGACAACTCTTAGATGGGGACTTGGGCTGCAACTTCAGCTGTTGGGAAATGATGTATTCAACCCTATTTCCTAAACATCTGCCAAGGGTTCAGCTTCTCTTCATGAGAGCTTTATGTTTGGATAGCAGTTGAAGAGGTGTGTAAGTTGGCTGTAGGGAGAGAGAGGGTGGCGTATTCAATGTCTTGTTCTCATTGTTTTACATTTTTAAGTCCTTCCTCTAACATAGTGTGTGTGTGTGTTTATGTCTGTGTGTGGACCGAAGGGGTGGTGGGATGACAAAGCCTGCTCAGGACATGGGCATTATGGCCACCATGTGGCTTAGTTTAATTTTTCTAATGCAATAAAGTTGAATATATATTTCTACTATGTGTCATGTTGACTTCTGCCCTTGAAATTAGTGGTAGGGAAGGGTCTTAATTCCTAGATCTGAGGTTTAACATCTTAAAACTTTGGAGCAGGAAAGTGCTTTAATCACTTTGTTTAAAACACAGTGTCAATAAACCACTGAATTTGAGGGCAGGAACAGTTGGGTCTGCCCTGTGTCAATCAGTTGTCTGAGCCTAGGCCAAGGGGTATTCAGTCTTCCCATGACTGTCCATCTGTAAAGAAGAAGAAAATGATCACCTCTTCCAGCCCTACACCTTGGGTCTCTGGGGGAAAGAGGACCATCGGTCTAGAAGGCCTTGGCTGTTTTCTTCTGTACTTGTCAATATCTTCTCCTTAGCCACCAAAATGACTGCTTGATTCTGATCATTCTCAAAGTCAGCTGATAAAATGTCCATACCTCACTGGTGAATATTTCTACTCTTTCTCCCAGATCTAAGCAACTTGGCCTTCACTTAAAAATGGAAGGTTTTTTTCTTTTTCCTTGTCTCCACCATTCCTCCATCCCCTGTCCCATGTACAAACATATTCACTCCCCTGCCTGTGGCAATGTAACTATTTACACTCCTATCTGGGTGTGTCCATCATTTAATGAATGTGACTTTTGCCAACGGGAAAGAATGGAGTACAGTGTTTTCCGTTAAACCAGTTTTGCTTCCCGACTGTTCTTAAATTTAAGAAAGTGACACTACCTGAAAGCCAGTGGTTTAGGCATCACTTTTATGTATTGCACTGTGGTAGTCATTAGTGCTATTTATTAAATATTTCCAACTTCCTGCCTACTGGGCACATGGTAAGCTGGTCCCTTTGTGATTGGCTGGGTTTACATGACTCTCTTTGTTAGCATAGTACTACTCTCAGAAATAGTTGGTTTTTTCTCTCTGACTTCAAGCAGCTTCATGTGCCAGTATCTGCCCTTTTCTAATTGTATTTCTTAGATTTGATATATTTTCTTATTCTCATACCTCTCTGACTAATTTGGGGGTACTTTTGAACTTTCAACTGGAGAGGTTCACCCTAAGTCTTCCCTAAGTGGTTTAGTTTAAGTGAAGTGGTCAACTGTGTGCCACAACCTCAGTGAGGTCTTTACAATAAGACAATTTAATACACTTGGAGGTTTCAGCAACAGAAGTTATGGTCATATCATTATTTTCATCTTTCTTACAAGTAAGGTGACCAACTGCCGTCCCTGTTTGCCCAGAAGAGATTTCCTGGATGCAAAACTTTCAGTGCTAAAACAGGGACGGTCCTGAGGAAATCAGGACAATTGGTCCCCCTACACACAAATCTGAGTTTGAACTGGATTTTATCACTCCAAACAGTTCTCAGTTTTATCTGTTACCTAATGAGAAGCAGTTGCTGCTGCCAGCCCTATAACCCCACTGATTTCGGTAGTCTCCCTAGGTCCCTTGTGCCTGCTTGCAAGCCGGCCAGATCTCTTCTGAGCTCTTCTGTCCTTGTGGTGCTTTGTCAATGGCAACCAACAGTAACCAGTTCACGCCGCTAAAATTCTGTTCTCTTGCCTCTTTCTCCTAGATACACAAACATCCTGAATAAAGTCTCTGTCTTCTAAGTTACTGCAGGCTACAGTTCTAGCAAATATTTCACAATATTTCACATAACAGGGTTGCCCTCCTTCCAGCCTCCAATAAGATCTCTTTGTTGCCCTTCATGTAAGTTATGTCACACACACTAGAGTTTCTTGTTTGTTTTTTTAACAAGTAGCACCTCCCTCTAGATTCCAAAATCTGTATCAGTCAAGGACACATTAGGTTAGGTTATGTTGCAGCAAGGACCCTAAAATCTCAGAAGCTTAAAACAATTGCCTAAGGATCCCTTCCCAGGAAGCAGAATTGGGGCCCTAAGCAAAGCGCAGTCTATCCCCCAGGGAAAGGGGCCCTCACCACCTCTGCTCAGTTAGTCAGATGTCATAATCCCTAGGCTGCTATGTGTCCCATTCTTGCCCTTCTCCCTTATTGCACTTAGTCTGTCCCTATTCCACTGTTGTGTATCAAATGTGTGGGGACACATGGCTTATCTTTTTGGTTTCTAGATCTCCAGCTCAAGCTGCATCTGAAACTGGTATAGAAACTTGTGCATCACTCAGAGATTCTTTTTTTTTTTTTTTTTGAGACAGAGTCTCGCTCTGTTGCCTGGGCTAAAGTGCCATGGCATCAGCCTAGCTCACAGCAACCTCAAACTCCACGCAGAGAGTCTTAAATTTGAACTTGATATTGTAGCTAAATGGAATTCTTGGGTTGTTTCCACTGGGGGAGACGTAATGAGTATATCCCACACTTATTGATGAGAAGGGTCATCAGCAGTAGTCACTGATGTTCTCTAAATATTTCTGCCCGTGCCTTCCAGGCACTCGACAGAATTGTACTTCCTGACCCCTTTGTGGTTGGGTGGGACCATGTAATTAGTTCTGGCTAATGAGGCTAATGAGTTGTGAGCAGAAGTGACTTGTGTTAATTCTAGCTCAGAGCATTTCAGTGCTGGTTCAAAAACCGACAAGGCCCTTTTACCCTCTGGGCAGTGACCAGCAATGCTCTATAAGGAACTATTCCATTAGTATAGGTCCTGGAGTATGGATGCCATGGAGCAGAGCCCTCAACTGATCCCTGATGAGTGGGAAATAAACCTTTTTTGTGTTAAACTACTGAGGGTTGGGATTTTTGTTACTGCAGTGTAACTTAGCCTATCCTGACTGATATAACACATGCAGCACCTATTGGATGCCAGGCATCAGCTAAGACCTCATCACTACCTAGCTCAGATAATGTACACAAGATAATGTACATGGTGGAAAACGTGAACAAATAATGTGTCATGGTTTTATGATAGAAATATAACGCAGTGGATACATAAAGTTATTTGTAGTCAGGAGGGGGATATTAAGGAAAAGCTTCTTAAGAAGATCTGAATTTTTTAAAATGAGTAGGTTTGTGGGATTTCTGTCCAAGTTAGGATAGGGTTTCCAAGTGGAGGGAACAATGTGAGCAGAGGCATGGAAATGAGCCTATGCACAACACATTTAGAAAACTATAGGTACAAATTTTAAATTTCTATTAATTATTAGCTTGGGGCCTGAACTCTAGTGCCATCTAGTGGACTCTAAGGAAGAAGGGACAACTTCATACATTATGCTGTGTAATGCTTTCTGAGTTTGGAAGGCTGTGCTTCTAAAGCCTGAGATAGATATCAGAATATTAAGGGCTGGAAGATATGATCTAGTCTAGCACTGCTCAATAAAAATATAATGCAAGCCCCATATATAATTTTAAAATTTCTAGTGGCCACGTTAAGAAGTAAAAAGAAACAGAAGGTATTTTTAAAACATATTTAAGCCAATATATTCAAAATATTATCACTTCAACATATACTTAATATAACATGCTATTAATGAGATACTTTAAATTCTTTTCCTGTTGTGCTAAGTGTGTGTTTGTATTGGTGGGCATTTTACACTTACAACATGTCTCTACTTGGATTAGTGACATTCAAGTGCTCCATAGTCACACGTGGTAGGCTAGTGGCTATTGCATTCAACAGATCTGACCCAATCTTTTCATTTTACTGCTGAGGAAATTGATGAAAGAAGACTAAGTGACTTAGACAGTATCATTGAGCCAATGGGTAGTCAATTCCCAGTATGCAGCTATTCTCTATAGCTTGCTTTTTTTCTTCTTTTTCTAGGACTCTCAAATGCAGTAGAACAAAACATGTTAATAAAGAGCTCTTTCACTCCCAAGGCACTGTTTATGTAGGAACATGTGGGATTTTTAAAAAATCTATTGTAAATAAATTCAAAATCATAAAACAGGTATAACTTAGAATGTTTGCATATTGCTTTGTCCATAGACCATCAATAATGCCTATAGACTTGATTTGTTTTATATGGCAAAAATGCACCAAATTAGTAACTCATAATTCATTGCTTGAACACTGTTTTTATTATTCTTTCCTTCTAGACCATATCCATACACACGCGGCATTTCTATATTGTTGTAAAAGTGTGATTGCAATTTGGCCTTTTTTTCCTTTTTTTTTTAATCTAGCATTATAACAAGAAGAATTAAATAATTGATAAAATAGGTGGATTTATGTAATCTGAGGAGTTCTAAATTTGGAGAACATTATATTCATAAGACTTATTAGCAAAATATAATGTTAAATAAGTGAATACTGTATAAAGTCCTCATATTTCAATAGATCTTAGATGTGCAGGAGTGAAGGAAATTAACAATTGGATGGAAGAATGCAGAGAAGGCAAGACAATACCTATTGGAAGTGTGTTAAAAGTGCTTCAGAGGAAAACTAGACATTATCTGGTAACCAAAAAGAAAGCTGCTTCCCTCTCCCTTTTTATGTAAAGCTTTCCTTTCTTTCTAGGACATTTTTTGGTGGTGGTGATGGTGGTGGTGGGTTGTATTTGGTGGGCTTAGTATGTTAATTGTCTATTGCTGTGCAACGAATTACCCCTAATCTTAGCAGCTTCAAACAATTATTATCTTATGCAGTTGCTGATGGTCAGGAATGTGGGAGGGGCTTAGCTGGGTGGTCCTCATGAGGTTGGGGTCAAGCTGTTGGCCGAGACTGGGACTGCAGTCATCTGAAGTCTCATAGCAACTGGGATGCAGAGGTCATTTCCAAGCTCACTCCCATGGCTGTTGGCTGGCCTTAGTTCCTGGATGGCTGTTGGCAGGGGGCGCCTAAGTTCTTCACCCTATGGGCTTCTCCATAGGACTGTTCATGATATAGCAGATGGCCTACCCCGGGGTGAACGATGAGAGAGAGAGAGAGAAATTGAGACAAACTACCAAGATGGCAGCTGCAGTAGCTTTTATAACCTAATCTTGGAATTGACATACCACCACTTCTGCCTTATTCTTGCAGTCACATGGACCAACCCCAGTCTGTTCTGAATGGGGACCTGGGGACTTCTTCAAGGTTGGAAGACCAGGAGGTGGGGATCACTGGGGCCCTCTTGGAGACTGGCCACCACAGCTGCCTTTTCCTTTTCAGGTCACTTACAAGGACATCGTTGCTATGGAGATGGCTGTGGGCATAACTGAAGGATACGTG